CACTCAGCATATTAGTCCCTATGGCTGCACTTAGAAGGAAAGCTTAAAAAATGAAAGTCTCTCTGTTGACCCATATCATATCAGATCTCGCAGTGTTTATCAGAAGCAGATATTTTGTAAAGCTAATTGACCTTAAAAGCCAGTTTAAGACCAAGCCATCTCAAAATAGTTTGCACTGCAATAGGGACAGCTTGCAACAACATATTGTTCTGGGAAAAAAAATCAATTTCCTCCCTAACTACCATGAATATGGCTGGTTTGCTAAGAAGAAACAGGAAAAGCAGGGAGTAGATGCACATGATGCCATCATCCCCACAAATCAAAAGTCCCCACCTCCATCATTCAACAAGAAGTTTCTTTGGGGGATTTCAGTTCCCAGAATCCCTCTATCAGCCTTGTCACCAGTCATTGCTGGGAGGTTCTTGGAAGGATCAATCATTCAAAGAAGCAGTTTTTTCTGAGTGCCTTTCATGAAGAGGTGGCAGTGGGGAGCAGCATGTCTTCTCCCTGTTGCAAAGCTATTCTTTTCCCCAGATGCTATGACCAGGTATTAATAGCAAACCCGTGTGAGTGACCTGTTATCCTGGTGAGAATTGTTGTGATGTGGACTCTTGCTCCAATATTGCCTGGGGTAATTAAAGATTCTGTGTGAATTACAACAGTGACTTAACTGCCCTAGGAAACTTCAGACTGACTTGAATCAACTCTGGATAGCTTCCCTGTTTAGCTGCATCTTGATTGGCTGAAGATGAAAAGTGGGGCTGAGCAATTTGTCTTTTTGATTGCTGTGCTAATACGATGAGAAGTCAATGAAATAGGTCTTGCATTTGAATGAAGAGGGACTCCACCAGGAACAAAGGTGACACTCCAGAACAACTTCTCTGCAGTCTTCATAGTTTCTTCCCATCTTTCTTGGGAATGCTTGCAGGTGCACATAGTAGAGCACCCCATGCTTAGAGGGATGAGTACTGCAAACCACAAATAATGTGAGAAGGTATCACACTGGTGTGCAAACGTCCATGTGAGCTCTTCCTTATGGCCTCCTAGTCCCCAAATGTTTCATTCCATACTCTTCAGGCACAGTTGGTCTTGATCTCTGGACTCTAGGAAAGAGACACAGGCTCACTGCTCCATGCATTGATTGAAGCCTTTGCAAATACTGCCTGCACCTGGAGACTTTAAGATAGAGATCTTCTGAGCTGAGTTGGGCCCCACAGCAGCTCCAATAACATGTCATTCTTTCCAGTGACACTGTGTAACTGGATCTCTTCCATTGTTGAATCCGATCAACTTGTTGTGAGGACATGACCTGAAACCAAAGTGCTGAGCTCCATAATGTGACATAACATGACATAACATTTATATTGCTTATGAATTGTAATATATGGTAGCTATCCTACTATATCTAAGTACGTGCTACCTATATATCTTCAATCAGTGAACTCTTAAATGGTTTGCATATGAAATCTCATCCCCTCCCATAGTTCCCCCAGGCATTTGCCTTTCCCCCCACTTCATTCCAGCTTATCCTCACTCTTGTTTTGTCCACAGCTTATCTGCTTTTTATCCTGTCCATCCCATACTCTGTTATCACACCACTTGTTGTACCTAGGCTGTCCTGTACAATTTCCCTGTATAAGAAGGCTTCCAGCTCAGTCTGCAGACTTCACCCAGCAGACATCCTGGGGATGACGGCAACAAATACCTTTGCTTAATGCTAGGCCTGCTCCAACAGGGTAAAAAGTGGGGCTGGTAAATGGCAATTTAAAAAGCAAAATAGGTATGGGACTGAGAAGAACTGAATTTCCCCCCTCTCCAGAAATACAGCCAGACTCTGATATTGGGGTGAATCATTTTTGCCCTTAAAGTTACTACCAACCTTGCTTTATAAGTGTGTCTGCGAGGCTGGACTTGAACAGAATGATCAGCTGCTGTACTGTGTCCTTAAGTCTCTGTACTGCAGTGGTTAAAGGGTTACCATATTAATAGCTGGCTGGGTAGCTCAGTGAGATGAGGCACCATGACCAGTGGTCAAAAGTCCAATTCCCCGTGGTGTCTTGTAGAAAAGCCAGCCTGTATGGCCTTGGGCCAGTGTCACAGTCCCAATGAGCTTCCAGAAGAAGGGAGCTGCAAGCCACTTCTGGGTATTCTGTACCTAGAAAACCCTGGAAGGATCACCATGACTCATAATTGACTTAGCAATGCACCATTATTATTAGAATTTAAATGTCTATAATGGATTACACTGTTTTGGTAAAAGGAAGCAAGTTTTGTGATGGGCCAGACATCCTGAGGGGAAAAGGCAACCATTCCTAGTTTACGAACACGAATACATCCACATCCTAAAGTCACAAGGACCAAAAACAAGTTTTCAGTCTTTTATAGATGGCTTGGACAACTTGGGTCCTAAAGAAGGACAGCATCAAGGCTCCTGCACGGAGGTCAGTTTCTCAGATTCCTTTGTCTATTTCATGGACAGAGGAAAGGCCCAGGATGCATGCGGTGGCCCTTTAAGGCTGGTTGCGTTCAGTTCTTTGGGGTTCCTTCAGCAAGAAGAGGGGGAGAAGCCATTGATCTGTAATTTGCATAGCTGCTTTGCAAATCAATCAATTCCTCTATTTAAAAAAACTGAGACTAAATCAATATGCCCTCTCAACTCTCACAAAAGTGAAATGCATTAAGGGCCCAGTCTTACCCTTCATGGCTTCCTTTACCAGCTGCAAAGTCAGCATCAGTGAAGGGAAAGAGAGAGAGGGAGAGAGAGAGAGAGGAGGTGGAGGAGAAAGAGAGGGCACTCAAGCTGTCTTGCAGGTCTTCCTGCCCTCTGTATGGCTCAGAGGCAAAGAGAGCAAAGGGGCCATATGGAACAGTGCCAAATTAGACAAGGATTCTCCTGCTTCCACCCAAATCATACTGCTTCCTTTTAAACAAAGAGTTCTTAAGGCTCTTCAATAAATGTGTTCTTCTGAGTTTGGAACAGTACCACAGTCTGGGGCTTTCATGTTTTAGTCATAGGTCCAGTTCTTTTTCCATTATTTGGGGACTATGAGACTCTTTCAGAGTAAACTGCAACCCGTCCCTTGCTTCTACTGTAGTCTCTTGAAGTGCCAAGAGAGGAAAGATGGAGAGGGCCCCCAAGATGTGTTACTGTCTGAAGCAGAAAAAGAAAATCTCTCTCTCTCTCTCTCTCTCTCTCTCTCTCTCTCTCTCTCACACACACACACACACACACACACACACACACACACACACACACACACACACACACACACAGTGTGTAAGAGAGTGAGAGAGAGATTACCAAAGGCAGCAGAGTTGAAAATCCTCTTCTCCACAGAGTGTGTAAGAGAGAGAGAGTGAGAGAGAGAGTACCAAAGGCAGCAGAGTTGAAAATCCTTTTCTCAATGTTCCTTTACAAAATAAAATAATAAAAAGAATGCTATCAAAATAAAACAATTATTTGCTGCCCTTTCATGATTGATTGCTCCATATAATGACAGGACCTGCTGTGATACTCACCATTTTGGCCACTGGTTGAAAATAGCTGTGATTTTGGGTCTTACTCGCATTTAGAAGTTTTGTTTCTTGCACATAACATTTGAATGGAAGCACAGTTGTTCACTCTCTGTGTTTGTATTTTTACATATAGTGACTCCTCCCTTGTACATCAGCTCTAGGCACCTCATGTTGCCATTTGTGCTGTCTACAGGCTCTTAACTTTTGTCCATGTCAGCGGGGAAAAATATTCAAAACAAAAATCTGTAAAGTGGTCCTCAGGTCCCTGCAAAACATCTTTCTACATGCCTTTGCTTCCTGTGTGGTATTTGAAACTAGATATCTTTGCTTTAGTTCAGTATACAAGTTGTTCCCTGTACTGTAAGACAAATTGGATTGCAAGTTATCTTCACTCTCAAATAAAAGCAAACACCCATTCATTAAATTTAATGTAATTCCCCTCTCCATCAATTTATAGGGATTCTTGATTTTTTTAAAAAAAAAGTTAGTATGCTGTGATGTTTAAAGGTAAGGAGAGGTGATGATTGGATCAGATGATGCAAGAAAGAGAAGGGCAGGGACCAGAAGCTACCTGTTGCTCAAAGCTATCCAACTATATTGCATGCTCTTGGTTTCAAATTTTTGCTCTTCATCAGAAAGCTTGTAAGACTCCCAAACCTGAACCTGGTTGGGTTTCTTTTGTTCAGCTCCTGATTGCACAGACCACCACTGCCACTCCTGTACACGGCATGTTTCCCTTTTGGCTTACAAGGCTTGAGCTACTAATTCAGGAAGACAGTATGTCCTCTTGAAAATCTGCTGTGATGCCCTTGTAAGATTGATTGATTACATGTGCTGTTTCTGTAACTGCCATAGTTATTGCAGTTGCTCATATAGCCGTTGGAGAGACAAAACATTTCTTGGCCTTAACTTGCAATCCAAAAAGACATGACACAAAAGGAAAACAGGATAGGCAAGAAAAAGGAAAACAAGAAAATTTGGGGCAATTTCCTAATGTAATGATTTAGGCATTGTAATTTTCAACATCACTAGCTTGGAGGTAGAGGACTTCATTTCTTTTTAGACTGCCCGTTATATCTCAGTTTCCTGATCCACTTTGTCCTGGTACTGGAGATAATATTTTCTCAAATAAAACTAGGCCTGCATTGGCAGGAACAGTTTATTATGTGATATTTAGGGTTTCTGAATATGTTAGATGAGCCTTAGAGCAGGAAACTTTTTGTGCCCCCAATGAGAATACATATTCCCAGAACTATTTTAAATAATAATAATTATTTAAGTGAATAATTCCTTCCTGTAGCATTGTACTGTAGCATGTCTTGCCTTCTCTTATTTATTGTTAATTATTATTTCATTACCCAATTCTTTGTCTCCCCACCTGCCCGCCCCCCTTTTTCTGGTGCTTCTGAAAAAAGCCTGATCAGCCACTGCTCAATAAACAGTACTAATTCTCATCTCTTCTTTTGTTGGCATCTTCTCTCCAGCCAAACTCATTGTGGAGACCGACACTTTCGGGAGCCGGGTAAGGATCAAGGGGGCTGAAACTGGCTTCTATATCTGCATGAACAAGAAAGGAAAGCTGATTGGCAAGGTGAGAAGATAAGAAAATTAGGTTTGCACAGCTCCTTGGGCATGCTGAGTGTAGCTCAGCTAGTTTGTTGTGAGACAAGGAGGAGCAGAGCAAACCTCTTGCAAGAGTGAAAGCTGATGATGAGCGGGCAGAAGGGGATACAAGCTGAGCCACAAGTTAGCCCATTCACACCCTTACCTTCACGTTGCATGTTTTTCATATAACGTGCTTGCCATTTGCTCATGGCAACTTCCACCACTAGACAATTAAAGCTGTACATGCAGCAAAATCCAAACAGCTCTAAAGATGGGGATAAGTTTTAGAGTGAGACACTCTCACAGTGTGATTTTTCAGTGCCAGCCTCCTACAGCAGACTCTGCCAGGCTTTGGACTGGAATACTGATTGCTACCTTTATTGGTAAGAAAGCATGTAACGAAAGCTTTCTTGTTGTTATTGTAAGGAAAGAAAACTTTAATACTGTGGACAGTTTTTGCTTTAATAACTCAAAAACTGGAAGGATTATATTAGTAGATTAAAGGAATATTCACAATATATGCACAATTTGCCATGACACTTCTCCCCACTGCAAACTCCAGCACAGATACTGGCCAGGAGCAGCCATACGATTATATGGAGCTCATGCAACTGCTTCAGGCAGCACATTTAGGGCAGATTTTGGAGGCTTCTGTTGCTTGAAATATATTCCCCACAATCCACCATTCTGGCTCAGGAATGCTGGTAACTGTAGTCACAAAGGTAAATTTTCCAAACAGCTCCTAGAGTTGGGGAGAGGTGCATATGGGTTTTCTGTCTCGTGTTGGAAAACAGATTGGCTAGCCTTGGATGCTGTGCACCTTAACAAATGAGCGGAAGCACCATTTGTTGATACGCCTCCAGCAGCAAAGCACCTTAGGCCAACCCTGCTATATTGGCTGAACTAGGATCTCAGGTGCTCTGTGTCTTCCTGCCTCTACTCTGGCAGCGTATCAAAGACTGCAGCCATTGAACCATATCAGGTTTGTTTCTAAGTTAAACATGCACAGAATATTTTGCATGCTTCTCAAAGGAACATAAGATACTAAGGAATATAGACAAGGAAATAAATAATTCCAAAACTGAAGGAGTGAAAACATAAATACAATTGATCAATCAATGAATCATTCAATCAGCTAACTCTTTTCTCCCATTTCCTATGCAGTAGTAGCCTTTTATCATAGTGGGTATAAATCTGTGGAATGTTCTTAGCACTATCTGCTTGGAAAAATCCTCTTTTTGGACCACTGCTCCCTGAATCCACCAGCCATGATGGCCTGTAGCAAAAGGAAGAAAGAGAGAATTTTCAAATCTGTCATCTTTAAAACTAAGAGTCTTGTGGCATCTTGAAAATTAATAAGTTTTATATGGCATAAGATTTTGAGGGCCAAGGCCCTCTTCTTGTCTCCTATGTGGGGAAAATAAATGATCCCTAATAGAAATTCTGGGCAATAACCACCACACACTCTCATCCCACCTATTGAGGTCACACAGTATATATTATCCAAAAGCAAGGATGGGTAATACTATTATTAGGCCACTAAAATATTCAAAAACAATGTTGGTTGTGAGACTGCCGCAAATGCTTAGTACTGTGACATTAAGGATACCAGAACACACACATAATAAACTCTCCCACTTACTGCCATGCAGGTTTGCATGTTGTTAATTGTACACTGATGCTATATACTGAGGGGGATGTTGTGAGTGAGTGAGAAACATAGGAAACTGATATGGAAAATCTCCTTACCACTTCCACCTTGCATAAATACAGCTGTCCACAAACATTTGTTTTCTCTGTCACATAGTTCAGCCTTCAATGTTCAGTTGTTTGGAGCCTTTCAACCTTTTGGAAGGTTCCAACCAGCATTTAAACTATTTTAAAAGGCTGTTTTAAATTGGGGTGGGGTGGGGTGGGATATTGTCTCAAGGTATTGTCTTAATACTACCCTACTAATCCCTGAACATGTTATTGGTTAAAATATATTCCTCTACGGGTTATTATATGCCGTTCTTAGCAGCACTAGGACTATCAGAATGATCCCAGACATGGCATTAAGGGGATTATTTTCCTTCCCATTACATTAAAAAAAATGTCCAGCACCTAAGGCTGAGATCCTAAGCAGCCTTTCTAGGGAATCTTAAGTTTTTCTAAACATAATGACACATGTATCAAAGTAAACATAGAGCTGAATCCAATGTTTGTTGTACCTACAGTATGGGAATTGAAAGAAATAGGACTTAATTGTGATTAAAAAAATCATTCATTTTAGGGGTTCTATGCATCGCTAGTGCTAGATTTAGTCCATTTTTACAGTTTCACTATTAGCCCTCTCCCTGACATACTGCTTGGGGAATTTTCTGTCAGCTAAAGAACATTCAAAGCACACTGTTTTCTACTTCCAGGCAAACAGAACACAGTTTTGGAATTTGATTTTACACATTTTGTATAAACTGTCTTTGTCAAGTCATAGATCAGTGATTTCTTGCCAATGGACACTGCAAAATCCTGCAAGTTTCTTTGCCGCCAAGAGAAACAAGGCATGCTTGACTTTACAGAGTATAATAATGGGCTTTAGTTTAGCCTTAGTAGAGGGATGGGGAATGTTAGCTCTCCAGAACTGCAAACCTCCCCAGCAGCTACCTGTAATGGTTAGTTGGCAGATGGATGATGCAGGTCCAGCAATATCTGGTCACATGGTCCTTACACCTGCTTCTAATACAGTAATATGAAGTATCTTAGGGTGGACACCATCAGAATAGCAGAGTGGTGAGTACTGAGTAATAATATCTACAAAAAAGAAATTGAAATTTTCTAGGCGGTTTTTGGTGAAATGTCAGAACCTGGGATGGGGATGATGAGAACAGGGGAGCCATGTTGGGATTCCATTGTTCAGAGGAGACAAAGGTCCATGTCTCACATAGGTCCTTGGCAGAGCTTAGATATATTACCCTCCCCCCTTTTTGGGGGGAAGACCACAACATGCAGAATTCCCTAACAAGTTCTAGCTAGAGGGACTCTGATACTGTGACCCAAAGAAGTAAAATTTCTAAGTTGTGGTCCTTGATCCACCTTAGGACAACAACTCAACCTAGACATGAAACAGCTGATCAGCGCTCAGGATCTCCTGTTGTGTTTCTAACCTGTAAAAGCAGCCAGAATAGATGGAGGCAAGAATAGGATTCAGGGCAGAACCTCTAGTATTTTGTCCTTCTTATCTTAGAATGCAGAATTGAACTGACTCCTGCAGAAAATCCTGCAGATGCATCTTTTGGGGAGTAAAAATACTAAAACAGTAAGTTAAATTACTAACCTCTTAAAATTACTTTTTCCCTATCATGATGAGCTACGTCTGCTGCTCAGGACAGTCACCTCTTTCATCCCAGTGGCCCCACAGTGGCAAATGTGTGGCCAGTGTGGTTTAATAGTTAGGGAGCTGGACTACTAGGACTCAGGAGGACTGGGTTCAAATCCCTACTCAGTCATGAAGCTTACTGGGTGACCTTGGGCTATTCATATACCCTCAGCTTGAGCAACCTCGGAGGGCTGTTGAAAGGATAAAATGGGGAGGCAAGAGGAATGTACACTGCCTTGTGCTGGTGGAACAAAATTCTGGATAGGGATCTAATGAAACATCACCTAAATAGATAAATAAATTGGCACTCAGGAGAGGTGTAACACTTTCCCCTATATCAGCTTCCCAGTTCTAGTATATCAGGGCAATAGGCAGTTTTGAAATCTGACAAGGTAGGGCAAAATGTTTTGAATCCTGTTCACCAGCACTGTTCACTCCTATCATTCTCCAGCTTCCAAAGTCTCCATAAAGTAGGAGTTCTTGATCAAGGATGCCCCCCCACTCCTCACCCTAAGAGGAGATGAACTAAATGAGCAGATCTATGCACATTTGCTTACTTTCTATGCCATATGCAGGTCTCTGTCTTTCCTGTGCTTTGCTAACTTCCAGTGGCTGAGTAGCAGCTGTTTTTCATAAGGAGGAGTGTGTTCCTTCTCCACTCCAGAAGAGACTCCCAAGTGCTGCCCATGTTTGTCACCAAAGCAGAGGCATAATTTCCATTGTGGGGCTATAACGCTGGGTGCCTCTCGTGACCCTTTAACCCCCGGCGTGTGAGGTCATTGTTTCTCCTGCAAAATCTGTCCTGGTAAATGTATAGTTCTCTTGGTTAGTGCCCTGCCTTCTGTTCTCCTAGTATGACGTGTCTATAGTGTATCTGAACAACCTTTTAGTTTTAGAAGAGGAAGAATTACGCTGAGCCTGTGTGCATTTCATGCACTGCATTTCTGTCTCTGAGAAGAGGGCAGTCTTTTACTGCATTAACCCTATTTTCTGTGTTAAGGAACTTTAAAGTCTTGGATAGCACTCACTTGTGTCAGAAACGAGACAGACCTTTGTGTCATGTTTTGTCTGCATCTTCCACATTTCTTTATCAACCCCTACAGTCTTCCTCCTAACACGAAAAAAAGACTTGCTGTTACCCACCCGCCCCAGTAGCCTAGACAGATGCATGCGTAGCGTTCATTTCATTCTGTGAGTTGAAACTTGCACCAAGTTTGTAGACTTTTAAATCTGTAGCACAACTGCACAAAATATTCACTTACCTCCCTTGGAGAAAGCCAACTCACAAAGGAGGGGAAAGGGCATAGTTCAATGGGAGATATTTTGCAGGCAACCTGGCACCTCCTCAATATGTTGAGCTTTAGATCCCATTATCCCCAGTCAACATGACCAAGCAGCCATTGCATTCCATGCATCCAGAGAGTGCTAGCTTGGGAAGGTTGCTAGAGATAATACTGAGTTATATGGATGAATAGCCTGACTCAGTCTAAGTTTCTCTGTATATGTGGAAACATTCATCTTGTTTTACATAATAACACAGGAAGTTTTATATGAGTCAGACCATTGGCCTATCTGTCATTTGAATATTCAGTGGCAATGTCTTTTCATGTTACAGGCAGGATTCTGTCCTGGTCCCACCTGTAGATCCCCGGTAGTTTCCTATCAAAGTCCTAACCAGGCCTGGCCACCCTTAGTTTCTAAAATCAGATGAATCGTATTCATACTGAGCAGCAAATTGCTGCTGTTTTCTCTAGAATTACCAGGTTACCAGTGAATAATTAGTTATATGGCCTATCATAAACTGAGTAATCTTTTTCATTCCAGTTGCTTCTCATTTCTTTTGATTTTACATTGAGTGGTAAATCTTTGGTTTGTTCTGAATCAGAACCAGAAGGGGACAGTGGAATGGGCTGATTCTGTGTTGATGTCTATTTAAATATAAGCTGGTTTTGTTTTCATTCCTCAGCTACTGATGAGAATGGATGGCCTTGTACTTCAGGTATCCACTTAGGAATGTAAAATATCTTCATTACACCATAACAGTGGCTGATCCTAGGCTTCTCTGTTGCCTCCTGAATGGATCCATGCCATGCTTCCACGGGGAAATTTTCATTTAAACCAACAATATTCTTTGCTACAGTATTTGTTGCCACATCCACTTAGTAGTTTGTCTTACACTCTTTATTGTGGTAGAAAGTGGGAATTTAGGAGTTCACATTTCCTCTTGGATTCCCTGTGACTTTGCTAGTTGGTGCAAAGTGGCAGGATGGAGTTGAAGACGGACTCCTATTTGAATCTCTAATGAGCTGGGCTGCATTCAAACAAAGTGACACTTATTAGCAATATCCCACGTCTGGCAGGTTTTCTCATAAATGCTAAGGATACTTTGCACCTTCAGGAGGTGCTATCTTCTCTATCACTTCAGATCTACTCATTAGGGCAGTAAAACCTACTCCAGCCTGACACAACATTATCAGCTGATAAACAGCCAGAGAAACTAGACAGATGTGGGCTATGCAGTGTGTGGAGGAACAGGTACCAGATGAGATGTCTTTCTCAGCTTCGATGGAATCAGAGATTTCTGGAAAGATTTTTTTGTTGAACAGAATGTTCAGAAAGCCAAATGGGACTTACATATCTCATCTTATATTGGACTGTTATGTTACACTGCTAGTAAATATGTTCCCTAGTGTTAAGTCATATTCCTACAAACTTTGAATTTGATTTCTTGACTGTTAATGGATTGCAACCCATGGAAAAAGAGATAGGCATATTTAAGATGTGCCAACATGTAATTATGTTGGCATATCTTAAATATCTGTGTTAAGTTTGATCTTACAAATTGTCTACATATCCCATTTTAAAACACATTTTCTTCTCTCCTCTTGTTCCAATCTGCAGAGCAATGGCAAAGGCAAGGACTGTGTCTTTACAGAAATTGTGTTAGAGAACAACTACACAGCATTGCAGAATGCCAAGTATGAAGGATGGTACATGGCCTTCACTCGAAAGGGGCGCCCCCGCAAGGGGTCCAAGACCCGTCAGCATCAACGCGAGGTGCACTTCATGAAGAGGCTGCCCAAGGGCCACCAAACGACAGAGCCTCACAGACGCTTTGAATTTCTCAATTACCCTTTCAACCGGAGGAGTAAAAGGACTCGGAACTCTAGCCCTAAACCAACCCCTTGACCTGCCTGCCCGCTCCCTACTAGTGCCACTCCTGCCCTCCTTTCCCTTCCTTGGAGGACGGTGTGTAGAGACTTAAATGATGGACAATGACTAGAGACTTACCTGTGATAATTAAAAGGGGAATGGAAGAAGAGGAGGGGAAGGAAAAGAAACTTGACCTAGTTGTTTATAATTGTTTGTTCTGTGTTTTTTAAAAAACATAAAAGAGGCTCTATTTTTGTATTCCAACGTTATTGCTTTTTAAAAAATAAGCAATGTAATGTTCAATGACTCGTGGAGGGATGCTCTTCACTTAGAAATATTTTGAGTCCATTGGGAGGGGGGGATATGTTATGTTTTTAATAGAATGCTTTTAATAGGGGGAGGGGGTGGGTAGGAGGTAGTTGACCTAGGGTTAAAAATAGACTGTGCCCTCTCCAAATGTATAAATCAATTTGGGACCAAGTGTCTACCTCAGATAAAACAAATAAATTAATGGAACTCCTCTTTATTTCTGTGGATCTCTTCCCAATATTTTCAGACTTCAAAGTTGGTTGAAATTGGATTTGTTCAAGTCCTTTTGAAACCAATGAGACTTCTAGGCACTCACTAGTTGCAATTTGCAGGTATTGTTTCCATTTGGGATTAAGAGAGAAGAAAGAATGACTACCACTATCAAGGTGGTACTACAGCATGGAAACATTAAATTTTGCCACCCTAACATAGAAACATATAGTCAGCCATTGCTGGCTGTGGAGTTCTGGGAGTTTAATTCTAAAAGTAACGTTTCCAAGCACTGGGTGGTACTAAGATGAGGGCCATTAGTTTTGATTTGTTTTTCCTATCAAAGGTAATCATCTGTCCAGAGATCTGCATTTTTCTTTAATTACTGTAGACCTTTTTTGTACCATTTGTTTTGACAATAAAGTGCCACTGAATTCACACTGACATTTTCCCCATCACACCTCAGTTTTTAAAGTACAGTACTTCTTTTCCCCCATGAAGATTTCCATGAAACCAAGCAGAATTACTGAACACACCCTAAATGTAGAGAAGCTGAAATGTTCTTTTTTCACTAAGAGTTTAAGAAAGGAAGCCATGCTTTGGGTTCTGACTTCAGCTATTTTGCTGTTTGAGGCAGAAAAGCTGGTTATGTCCCTCACTCGTGAAGTCAGGTTTCATAGCATTCTGGACGAGCCAAATAAATCTGATGGCTGGAGCATAAAACCCCACAAGCACTTCCCTATTTCAATGGAGTGCAAGAATCAAGTCATAATACATTATGTAACTGACAACTTGCTGCCCCTTCATGTCAGCCTGCTGCCTCACCTTGCCCAATGTTTGGGCTGCCCCTGATGCTCCCACTGGTGTAGATGCTGGCAGTTGGGAACCTTGTAGTCCAAATCCATCTGACAAGCGATGCAGCTGGTGACCCTACCAGCATAAAGATTGCAACCTTGCTTTCAGATCACCATTTGTTGTTATGAATTTTTCAGGAAAAATCACTACTGACCAGTGCAAAGGGCCAATCAGTAATCATCTTCTGTCGCCTTACTCTTACCAGGCAAATTGCCACTGCCTTATTTTGTTCTTTATGGCTGAATACAGAGTTCTGATATTGGCTTTTAATCCCATGGAAAATATTGTTTGCTTACTCATTCCATCTCAGTCTGTTTCTCTGCCGGGTGTGCGTGTGCTAGAATAGATCCAGCAACACAAGCTGATAATGGATTGTCAAAACGAGAACTGCAGAAGGCTTGACCAATACCCCTAAGAGTGAGAGAGGAGGAAGTGAACGATCCTGCTTTGGGCACTTGATTGGAAAGGATTTGTTTTTAAAGGAGACCCCTAAGAGTGAGAGAGGAGGAAGTGAAAGATCCTGCATTAGGCACTTGATTGGAAAGGATTTATTTTTAAAGGAGTATTTAAAATACCGTGGTGCCTCGCTAGACACTTACCCTGCATGACAGTTTTTTCGCTAGACATTGACTTTTTGCGATCGCTAAAGCAATTTGCAAAACAGTGATTCCTATGGGGGAATTCCGCTGGACAATGTTTGGTCCCTGCTTCGCAAACCAATTTTCACTAGATGACGATTTTGACAGCTTCCTCCGCGCTCGCAAAACAGGTGTTTTCGGGACCTAAGCTTTGCAAGACAGTGATTTAAACAGCTGATCAGTGGTTCGCAAAGCGGCTTTCCTATGGCCGATCTTCGCTAGACAATGATGATTCTTCCCCATTGGAACACATTAAACAGGTTTCAATGCATTCCAATGGGGAAATGCTTTTCACTAGACAATGATTTCACTAAACAGCGATTTCAGTGGAACGGATTATCATCATCTAGCGAGGCACCACTGTAACAGTACTGAAAGCAAATAAAAGGTTGGGTAGCACCTTTATGGAACTTGAAAACTCACTTTTTAGTGTAGTTTAGTGGTCTAGTAAAAGTGTTACTAGTTTTGGATTTTGCACATGGACCATACAGTCAGCTTCCTTGGTTGCTTGATTCCTTCCTCCCTTTCCTTCCTAATAATTCAGGGTATTAAAACTTTGAGCTGGCTTGCTATCAAAGGACACATTATCTTCTAAGAGTCTTTGTCTCCTTTGTATACTTTTACTGTATACAAAATTAAAAATGACATGGTTGCTAATATTTATTTAATATGTGCATTAATTTTTTTTCCTATGATAGTACAAATGAGGCTTGTGCTCTGGCTACTGTATGTGATTTCCAGTAGGGACAGGAATTCTCCAGGAGTGGAAAATAAGGACTGAGAGGAGAAAATCTGCAAACAGGGGTGAGGGAAAAACCCTTCCTGGCTGTGAATCCTTTAAGGATTGGCACCTCCGGTTGGTTCTCCAGGGACGGGTCAGCCCAACAGCTGTTTGGAACTTTGAAGTTGTGATTCGTGAGGACATTTTAACAGTGTTGCAAAGGGGGGGTCACTATTGGTGCCCTGGGTGGCCCATCTGAGGCCATAGCTCCTGGGGTACAAGTAGACAAGGGGGAGGGACAAGAGGTGCCAGCAAGGGAGCTGGCTGATGAGGGCCACCTGTGTAGGACAAGGGGAAACAGAGGCGGGGATAAAGGAGGAAACTGGGAGAACCTAGGGGCTTCCTTCAGGGAAATTGAGGGAGAAGGAGAGACAAAGACTTCAAAGGAAGAGGAGACATGAGGAGAGGCCATTGAGGCTTGGGATCCCTGGTTCTGTGCCTCAGCTGAGGTGGAGAGTGCTTGGGAAGAGAGATCCGAGGCTGAAGTCCCCAAACTCACCATGTCGGGTAAGGAAGTGGCCATGGACAAGAGAACCCTCTGACATGGCCTTGGTGCCACATTGTCCAACAGAAGCAGTAGTGCCCACTCTGACCCAGCTGCAGTGCTGGTGACAAAAGTGCCTATGTGAGAGACAGAAGGGGCTCCAGGAGCAGCAGAGGAACTGGCCCCAATATCACCCACCCAGTTCTACTAGCTATCCTTGAAAAGTTTCCAACCAGGATTGGGACTCCTCCTCCCCTCCCTCTTTCAGAGACCAGGACTCTAAGGGCACCCTGTGGCTTTAACAGGGGACCCTTTTGAAAGGACATTCATGGGGGAGGGGGTTACTGCAGGGAGCTCTACCTCCAAGGAAGCTCCCAGTGGGAGTTTAAGACAGTGTTCATGTTATGTTGGTTTCTCCATTACAATAAAGCCTGTTCTTGCTCATTCTCTCAACCTGGAGCCCATGGAATTATGGATGGGAGACTCATGTGCTACCAGTTCAAATGGAATCTGACTGAAATGATTTTAATAATATTTTGGTATTCAAGTAAAAAGCACTTAATCTCCAGTAAGTGAAAGAGGCCAATCACTGGAGCTCACACATTTTTAATTTTTTTTTCTTCAAAATCTTGTTCGCTGATATCAACAGAGTACAGACTGCAGTCTCAATGGCTCCATGCCTGGTAATGGATCCCATTAAGTTCAGAAGAACTTTTCAGTTCCATCCACAAAACCAATTACACATGCATAGGAATTTGCTGTTAAAGGGGTCAATACTTCTGTGATACAAGCTGTTCAATGTTGCCACAATGCATGATTAACTTGTGGGGTTCACAGCATACATGGGATTGTGGAGACACAAACAGAGATTGTTTTCAGTGGGGATTAGAATGTGAAAAGATGAGTCTACTAATGGCTGTTATCAGACCAGCCCATATGGCTTATGGAGCTCAAGATAAATTTGATGCTAAGAACACTGCTTCCTGCAAGGATCTATACATTTCGAGTGGTGCTGGTGCTTTCATGAGTATTATGGCAGGATATACTCAGGAGCTGAAGAACAACATCCCTAGCTTTGTAGGGGCCAGCTCAAATGGACCTTGTTTTTCCTTTCAATCTGGGTTGTTGTTGTTTAGTCATTTAGTTGTGTCTGACTCTTCGTGACTCCATGGACAAGCGCACGCCAGGCCCTCCTGTCTTCCACTGCCTCCCGGAGTTGGGTCAAATTCATGTTGGTAGCTTTGATGACACTGTCCAACCATCTCATCCTCTGTCGTCCCCTTCTCCCCTTGCCTTCACACTTTCCTAACATCAGGGTCTTTTCCAGGGAGTCTTCTTTTCTCATGAGATGGCCAAAGTATTGGAGCCTCAGCTTCAGGATCTGTCCTTCCAGTGAGCACTCAGGGTTGATTTCATTTAGAATGGATAGATTTGTTCTCCTTGCAGTCCAGGGGACTCTCAAGAGCCTGCTCCAGCACCCCAATTCAAAAGCATCAATTCTTTGGCGGTCAGCTCTCTTTATGGTCCAGCTCTCACTTCCATACACCACTACAGGAAAAACCATTTGACTATGTGGACTTTTGTTGGCAAGGCGATGTCTCTGCTTTTTAAGATGCTGTCAAGGTTTGCCATCACTTTCCTCACAAGAAGGAGGCGTCTTTTAATTTCGTGGCTGCTGTCACCATCTGCAGTGATCATGGAGCCCAAGAAAGTGAAATATGTCTGATAGAATGCATGTTGCAGAGTAAGCACAGCACTGAATACCAGCTAGTGGTAGGAAAACAGTGGAGGAAGGCTCTTGCATATCTTGTCTGTAGATTTCCCAGGAATATCTGGATGGCTAGTATGGGAAGCAGGATCAAGGTAAGCCCCACTATTATTTATCTATTTCCTTATAAGTTATACTTTCAAAGTTCCCCTATACTGATAGATCATGGTGCATAGTACAATCAGTAGAAATGTTTGTTTGTTTGTTTGTTTGTTTGTTTATGCCCTGCCTTTCTCCTTGAAAAGGACTGAAGGCAGCTTATAACAATGAAAGACAATATTTAAAGTTGAAAACAATGAGTATACAATGGTGGTTAACATAATTAAAAATGATAATTAAAAACTATGAATAATGAATAAGGAGGAATCTTACATCATTAACAGGCAATATTAAGGCAAAGATCAATAAGTATACAAAAATTTTAAAAATGTCTCCCTAAGTAATGGAGAACACAAATAATGCTAAAAAGCCAGTCAAAGCAGTAATGCATAACATTCTGTATAAAAATCAACTGAAGGCAGCTTATAACAATGAAAGACAATATTTAAAGTTGAAAACAATGAGTATACAATGGTGGTTAACATAATTAAAAATGATAATTAAAAACTATGAATAATGAATAAGGAGGAATCTTACATCATTAACAGGCAATATTAAGGCAAAGATCAATAAGTATACAAAATTTTTAAAAATGACTCCCTAAGAAATGGAAAACATAAATAATGCTAAAAAGCCAGTCAAAGTAGTAATGCATAACATTCTGTCTAAAAATCGCACACCAGTAGCTGGTTTCTGAGGGAAGGCTTGCATGAAGGGAAAG